GTCAGCTCACCACCATGGTCGCCATCCCATCCCTCCCGTGGGCTCCAAGAAAGAGAATTAAAGCATGCTAAGTAGCTTTGTATGTCCTAGGTCAGTTTCTCAATATGTGGTCAGAGGACCATGAACATTAGAACCATCTGGAAAAACTGTTTTCAATGACAAACTTCAGAGCTCCATCCAGAACTACTTTCATGAGCGATGGCCAGGCCAGAAATCTGCAATTTCAAAAAGCTCTTCTGGTGATTCCTGTAAGAGTCATTGTCCTCGATGCCTTATTCATTCCGTCCTCACAACTCCACAGACTTGGCAGTGTGGTTCCACTGCAGACAGTTAAGGAATGCAGGGAATTCAGGCTTGTGCATGACCCCATAGAGAGATGCCAGGGGGACCCTCCTGCTATAGGAGCAGCCCTCTGTGTTGGGGCAGACAAGAGGCCACGTGCAGAGTAGCTCAGGCAGAATGCATGGCCCTAACAGTAGCCACATCTGGATTCCATGTGTCTGTGCTGCAGGCAAGCTTTTCCACGCCCAGGCATCTTGCCACACAAGAGATGCCCCACCCCCACCCCCACCAGGGCACCTAAGCAGAGAGGCCCCACGGACGCCCCGCAGTGGGGAGTGCGGGAAGTACAGCTGCGGCCTAGTGGCCCAATCCTTTCCTGCCACAGACTCAAGATCCCCGCATGGAGCGAGGGCGCCACACTGTGACCAAAGTGAGAACTTCTCGAGCCGGGGGAGAGTGCTGGAAAGGTAGTACTTGAGGTCCAACTTCACAGGTTCCTCCTCACTTCACGCCCCATTTTCAGCTCACTCCCACACCGATCCCCATCCTTAGTCACCCCTCATCTCCTGACTTCAGAAGGCCTGGGGTGAGATTCACAGACCAATGCCTTCGGTTACCCACAGAAAGTGAAGAAAAAGTTCCCATAACTTCTCCCAAATCCCAGAAAATTGCTTCAGATACAACTGTATTCCTCACCTCACACCCCACTGAGGTGTGGGGGGCTCAGATTACACAACACTGCCCTTCATTCCAGAACCTCAGCACTACAGAATTTCTGGAAAATTTCTGGTTAGTGTTCAGGACTATTGCCATGCTGTCTGCTTGTCCAAAATATTCTCTCATTTGTCACTGAGAGAATATTTATAAAAAGGACCTCCACATTGGACCCAGTATTCCAGAGGTAGTCAGACAATCTCAGAAAGCGCGTCCCTTGATCTGGCTGCTCCTTTTTGGTTAATGCAGTTTCTGACTGTATTAGAGGTTTTAGCAGTCACATCACACCATTGACTCATATTGAGCTTGCAGTCAACTAAACCCCCCAGGTCTTTTCATCATGAACTGCTGTGGAGCTGGGCCCACCCCCCATCCAGTACTTATGCCATTGATTTTGTTTTAACCTAAGTGCAGGACTCTACATTTATCCCTGTTAAATTTAATCTTGTTGGTTCCAGCCTGTTGAAATCGTTTTGAATCCTGGCTCTTTCATGCAAAGTATTAACTGCCCCTCCTAGCTCTATCACCTGCAAACTTGATGAGCCTGCTGCCTCAGTCAGTTGTCAATAAAAATGTCAGACAGGACACAGGCCCAGACTGAGCCCTAAGGCATACTGCTGGAGACTTCTCTCTCGTCTAGGCTGACATGGCTCCATTAATCAGCTCTCACTGGGTCTGGCTCTTTACCAAGCTACATCATCATTTGATTCAGATGTTTCTGCTATATCTACAGATATTTTGAGAGGCTGTTGGCTGCCTTGCTGGAAATTTCTCCTGCTCCAGGCGGTGGCCCCAACATCATGGACATGTCCTCTTTCTATTCTCCAAATCTTTATCATCATTTATTTAACCAAACCTTCAGGGGATTATAGATTTCCAGTGGTGCCTCCTCTGGCGTCTCTTGAGTTGTTAAGATGTTTCTGAGCTTCAGGATCTCCCTGGTTATAAACAACTGTTGCTATTTCCTACCGGTTGGCAAACTCATTAGGCAACAGAGCCAAATATCAACAGTACAATAATAGAAATTTCTTTTGAGAACCAAATTTTTTTAACTTAAACTTCTTCTAATGCCACTTCTTCAAAATAGACTCACCCAGGTCGTGGTGTTTTGTGGAAGAGCCACACTTAAGGAGCCAAAGAGCCACATGTGGTTCGAGAGCCGCAGTTTGCCGCCCACGGCCCTATCCCATCAACTCAGTGCCTCCTCCCTCCGAGGCCTTATTCGCATGGGCAAAGATGCTCTCCTGCCGCCTTCTCCTCTGCCTACAAATAGGTGCGGTGGCTTCTCTTACCTAAACAGCCTTCTGCTAGCTGCCCTCTTAAACTGTCTTGGCTTCAGTCTCCCGATCCAGTAACTTCCAACCTCATCTCCCATGTGTCGTGAACCTTCAGCAATCTTCCAAGCCTCAGCTGAGTAACCACATTGCCCAGACAGTGAGCAGTGATGGTGAAGATGGGGTTGGGGCTTGAGAGTCAGTCAGAAGATTCACAACCAAACTTGAGAGATCAGGTATAATCCAGTAGGGGAGCTTCATAAAGCAGAGGTCCTGGGAGCCCTCACACACCAAAGCAAGGTTGTGGTCAAATTAGGAGGTGATCAGGAAGGTCACAGGAACTGAGACATGGGGTTGGAGCCCAGGCAAATTGTCTGGGCACAGACAAGTGCAGCAAATACGCAGAAAGAAGTCCAAGCCTGAAAACTTTTTTTTTCTTTTTCCCCTTTTTCAATCATTATTTTGGAAAGTATTACATATCTACCCTTCATTCCCCCTCACTCCCACATTTCCGCTCTTCCATAGGAACGTCTTACATATGTCTTATAGGGTTGACACCAGTCCTGGGCCCAAGTCAGATGGGAAAAGACAGCCCAGCTGGAGTAGGGAAAATAAAAATATAGAGGAAGGCAGGGCCTGGCACTCTTCCCAAGCCCTTATCCCAGACTATACATCAGCTGTTAGGAACCTCAGAGAACTTCTAGAACAGAGGTCACACATTCAAAAATCTATGTGGGACAGACAGGTCACAAAAGTCAGACAAACCAGGTATAAAGTACCAAAATGAGGAGTGGTGACAGTGGTAAGCTGGAAGGAACATGTCCAAAGGAGGAGTAGCTAATCAGCTCCAGCCAACTGTAGTTGCATGGGAAATGGGATTTTATTGTTGCAGATCTTCTGATTTTTCAGAGAAGCCAAAAATCTAATTTTTTAGATGAAAAGTTCATCTTAAATGTTGCCAAGGTCTTGAACAAGGTTAGTGACGGGTTTGTGGTAATAGTGCACTTGAATTTCCATGTGAGAAATAACTTTTGACATCATGAGAGTTATTTTTGTGCATAAAAATTATTATCCAGAAATTACTTGGTTTTAAAAGTTATATTCACTTTTCAAAGTTACATATTCAAAATCCTAGTTCTTGTCTAAACTTTTAAGTTCACCTTTTACAAACTTTGTTTATAAAAAAAAAAAGCAGTTTAAGATTAATATATTTTATTTCCTTAAGTGCTTCATTTATCAGACTAAAACAAACCTTTGCAAATTAATTACTATGTCGCCAATAAATTGAGTTTACAAGTGTAGCAAATCTTTAATCATTTTAAATGTTCCAAAAGTATATAGAAACTTAGCAAGACTTCAACTTAAAATTCAAGTCAAAATAAATTACTCACCACTCTTTCGTTGGTATTACAAGGTAAACCTATTAAACTTAAGAGGCAAATTCTCTTCCACATGTCAAGGATATAAAATACAAGCAGTATATATTCCTTAAAGCAAAGAGTAATTCTGTGGCTTAGATGTCCTTAAACATGTCTATCCATCACTCTGAGTCCTCCAGCATTAAAAGATGCTTATTGACCGAGGAAACAATTGATGGAGATCTTGTGGACGTTGCCTTCTCAGATGGCTGAGGCTGTAAAGCAATCAGAAACATGGCTCAGGCCACTGACTGGATTCTCAGAAGGGACCCAGAAAGTCATCGCGGTGGCCTGTGTAAGCCCTATCACAGGGCCTCCATTACTTAATGAGGTGGTCACCCAAATCATACTCCTGTGTTTGATGCAATTCAATATCTAATTGCATTTTCTCACAGAAGCCCGGGATCCCACCTCGGCTTCCATATTCCTTGATTGGAGATGCATTTCCTTGGCTCAGAAAACACAAACCTTTTCATCTTGATTTCTGCTTTATTTTTATATTCTTCCTTTAGAGGAAGGCCACTCTTCCTGGTATTAAGATGATGGCGGTTGAATGCAGCACTTCTCTCACAACTGACTTGTAGTCACAGATCCTAAGGTTCTCCCACAGATCTGCCCTGCCCTCTGTGCCACACTGCCCATTGACTGGCTTTTCCCTCTTGCACTCAGCACCTACCTTCTTTCTGAAAACTCTTGTCTCTCAACAACCTCCTTCCTTCACCCACCCCAATGCCACCTAGATGACCATAAGACCCCTACTCTATCTCCAATATTGTAGAGTCCCGCCCCCTTCTCCATGATTCTTCTCCATTCATACTCCTGTTCCTTTAGGGCAGCAAATTTCAACTTTTTTCATCTCACGGCTAATTATTAAAGTTCTGTGTCACACTGATCTGACAAAAAAAAGGGGGGGGTATAATTTGGATTCAGTCACACTGGACAGCTATTGTTGTGTTGACTGTTGTCATGTTTAATTTGACAAAATAAGGGAAAAGAGGTCAGTGCCCCCAAGTTGTCAGGTATTGCATGTTTTAAAAATTCTTGTGACACACTGGTTGAAAATCACTGCTTTAGGGCAATTGATCTCACTTTAAAAAAGATCAGTTGCCCTAAAGCAGTGGCTCAGTGGATAGAATGTCAACCTGTGGACTGAAGGGTCCCGGGTTCAATTCCATTCAAGGGCACATGCCTGGGTTGCACGCTCAATCCCCAGTGTGAGGTGTGCAAGAGGTAGCCAACCAACGATTCTGTCTCATCATTGATGTGTCTATCTCTCCCACCCTCCCTGAAGTCAGTAAAATTTTTTATTATTAAGAAAAAATTGATATTACTTGTTTACACCAAAGCATGGGCAATGAAGCCCCTTTTATGCTGGGTCAATTGGATGCATCCCAAGGAGAAATAAAAGAAATGGAGCTAACTCTACTGGACACTTCCTAGGTCGGCTCTAGGGACTGGGTTATTTCACTTAAGGTGTATCATTCATTCCCAAGTCACATGAGACCTGCTGAGAAATCAAAGCTCAGAGATGGTAAGTAATCAGACTATCTCAATTATGGAAAAATGAACACAAGATTCAAATCTAGGCCATGTAATTCCAAAACTTATGCTCTGACCACACTGCTTTTTCTTCTTAAAAAACAAACCCTTGCTAGTCAAATGTTGGTGGAGTGGAAAGACAATGTTGTGGTGGGAGATGACACTTGACTATTTCCTACCAAAAGTGTGGGAGGCTTCAATCTGTGAACTCTTGCAATTCTGTGGCCACCCACTCTGGAAAGAGCCCTCCTAAACCCTTCACTAACATGTAGTGCTCAGTTAGTGTTTTCACACATATTGTCCCAACCTTGTAAGGAAGGTAGCGGTGTTAGTAACCAATTCTAAAGATGAGGGGACTGAAGCACAAACATGCCCCAAGTTACCAGCCTGTGTAAAGTACTTCTAAGGTTCACTGTCCCAAATCTTTTATTGTTTAAAGTATTACATATAGTAATATATATATATATATATATATATATATATATATATATATATATATATATTGTGCCCCCATTGACCTTTCCCCAGCCTCCCCTACCCCGTCGAATGCCCTCATCCCAGCCCCCCAGTGTCTTATGTCCATTGGTTGTGCTTATACACATGCATACAGGTCCTTTGGTTGATCTCTTCCCCCTTCCCCAACATTCCTCAGCCTTCCTGCTGTAATTTGACAGTCTGTTCGGTGCTTTACTGCCAATGTATCTGTTCATCAGGTTATAATATTATTTTCCATACATGAGATCATGTGCTATTTTTCTTTCATTGCCTGGCTTATTTCACTTAACATAATGCTCTCCAGGTCCATCCAAATGGTAAGAGATCCTTCTTTTTTTGTAGCAGCATAGTACTCTATTGTGTGGATGTACCATAGTTTTCTAATCCACTCACCTGATGGGCTGTTTCTAAATCTTAGCTATGGTGAATTGTGCTGCTATGAACATAAGGGTACATATATCTTTTCTCATTGGTGTTTCCAGTTTCTTGGGATATATTCCTAGAAGTGGGATTACTGGTCAAATGGGAGTTCCATTTTTAGTTTTTTGAGGAAACTCCATACTGTTCCCCACAGTGGCTGCACCCGTCTGCATTCCCACCAGCAGTGCATGAAGGTTCCTTTTTCTCCGCATCCTCCAAACCTTGTGTCCTTTCCACTCAGCCCTAGCGACTTCCTCAGATCCCCTCCTGCCCGTGTCTTTGTTCTTCTGGAGACGAGGTGGTAACCTAGAGCCTAGGTCTCTGCTTCTGCTCAAGACCCCATCTAAGCATCTTCGTCCCATCATTCATGGATTTTCAGATCTTTTCTGTTTTGCTTTTTAAATTTTTTTTTTATTGATTTCAGAGAGGAAGGGAGAGGGATAGATAGAAGCATCGATGAGACCAGCTGCCTCCTCCACCGAGGATGGAGCCCATAACCCAGGCATGTGTCCTGACTGGGAATTGAACCTGGACCTCCTGGTTCATAGGTCCATGTTCAACTACTGTGCCACGCTGACAGTGCTCTTTTCCGCTTTGCTTCTCCCCCCGCCCCCACCCCCCAGTCATCTCCTCTGTGATTCCACTTTGAACATCTTGAGAGTCAGAGTAGGATATAAAAAAATAAAAAAATAAATAAAGCCCCGCTGCCAGTACTTTCTTCCTATTCTAGTGCCCACACTGAACAGGATGTTTTTGTTTTTAATTTCTTTATTGATTAAGGTATCACATATTTGTCTTAAACACCCCATTCCAATCCCCCACCCCCACCCCACCTCCGTATTGTCCTCGACCACTGGTTAGGCTCATATGTATGCACATAAATCCTTTGGTTGATCTCTGACCCGTGGCTGCTTATCTCTGGGTCTGTTCTTGTTCATCAGTCTATGTTGTTCACCATTTCCCCTTGAACAGGATGTTTTAAAACATTATCATAGGCCTAACTGGTTTGGCTCAGTGGATAGAGCATTGGTCTGCAGACTGAAGGTTCTGGGGTTCAATTCCAGTCAAGGGTAAATGCCCGGATTGTGGGCTCAATCCCTGGGGGGGGGGGGGGGGGGGGGCCGTGCAGGAGGCAGCTGATCAATTATTCTCTGTCATCAATGTTTCTCTCTCTCCTTTCCTAAAATCAATTAAAATATATTTTAAATAAATAAAACAATCATAATCCTTAAAACAATGTTGCAAGCATTTGCTATTTCCTACTCCTCATAGGTGAAGTGGCTAAGACCTAGATACTTTAACTTACCTAGGATCAGTCAGGGAAGAGGCAAATAGAGATTCCATCTCAGGAGTCATATCTAAGGCCTCATTCTTCTCATGACATCACACCAACCCTTGTGGGACAATGACTACAGATTGTAAAGAGATTGGGGTTTTGCTCAAACAATATAGTCAGAGGCTCACTATTCAAAAACTTGAAGGGCAGCATTTGAAATCTTGCTTCCTAGCATGTCATCATTTTGACTCAAACTCATATACAAAACTTAAAGGGAACCTCTTCAAGCCATTCTGTGGTACCCCTCTAGAACAGCATGGCAGCCTCTGCACCAACCTCCACTCCTGTGTCTCCGCCTGTGTGCCAGCTTGCACACACCTTTAGTGCCTCTTATCCAGTGGTGGCAGCAAGTCTGATGCCTTCTATTTTCAATGGCAGAATGGTTCACATATTTTTTAAAATTTCAATGTTATTGTTAATCCTCTCACTCAAGGGCATTTTTTTATATGGATTTTTAGAGTGTGAGAGGGAGAGACAGAAAAACATTGAAGTGAGACAGACACATCAATTGGTTGCCTCCCCCATGTGTGCTGACCAGGGCTGTGGATCGAGCCTGCAACAGAGGTACGTGTGCCCTTGACTGGAATCGAACCCCAGACCCTTCAGTCCAAGAGCTGACACTCTATCCACTGAGCCAAACTGACTAGGGCTGTCTCACATATTCTTAATATTAAAAAATTTTTGGGAGAACATTCCCTAAATGTTCACTAAGAAGGGATAGGAACTGATAACATAAGCAGGAGAGTTAACCACATCCCTCTGCTTTGCTGATAAGCTGACAACTACGCTTGCCCTGATACTAGAAGCAGGACCTTAAGTCAGGAAGCCAGATAAGAAAGGTAAAGGCTTTGAGAGAGAGAGGACTGGTGCCACTAGAAGCCATTGATGACTGGGCCTTTGCTATGGAAGTCACTCTGTTAAGTCCTTAACACACTTCATGTAACCCTGACAAGGTAGGTAATGTTACCCCATACAAATGAAGGTGAGCTTCGGCAGTTTGTCATTTGCCCAAGGTCACATAGCAAACAGATCTAGGATTCAAAGACAGGTATGTACAGCTCATTCTCAACCAATACCCTATATTGCTATATACTAGAGGTAATAAAAACCTGATGTAGCTTAGATTTGGGGTTAAAGAGCAGAGCTTCCTTGAAGGGCAGGATTGACCTCAATGACTACATGAATGTCTTCTGGGGCCAAAGAATTCTAGAAGTAAACAGAACAGGTGAATGCAAAGTGACTACAGAAGAGCCTGTAGTCCTTTGCACCTATGGCTCGGGGCCAGGGTCAGAGGCAAGAGGATGTGAGTAGCCACAGAGGGAAACTGTAGAGAGGCTTAGTCCGGAGTGGGGAGGGGAGTGGCTGGTGGTGGGAACAGAACCTAAGAGATCAGTGGGGTACGTGTGGAAGAGGCAGAGAAACTCAGGCAGCCAGAATATATCTCAGGTTGAGTTCTGAATTCACCGAGTCCAGCAGCTCTTCCAAGCAGGATGGCAGGGCAGCTCCAGAGGCCAGACTTCTGAGGAAGAGGGGCTGCAAACGACGAAGTCCAATCCACCTGTACCCCGGGATGAACCTGGGCCAAAAACCAAAATGACTTCCAAAGATTTCTTTGGCTAACCAAAAGGCATTCTTTTTGAGGTCCATTGCCTGGCTGTCCCTTCCCAGGAGTGATTAACAAAACCCTTAAACATGGAGGGACAGTGTTTGTTTTGGAACTGGGAGAGAAGTCAGAGGAGAAATTCATGCCTTTTACTACACCCCAACCCCTGGTTATCTTTCAAGCAGATCAGCTTAAATATATTACTTTCTTGTCAGGTGTTTCTCCTCTGTGCACCTGTAATGCTAATTGCCTGCTTGTTGCCCCCACTGAACTGCAAGCACAGGGTCTGAAATAAAAATGCTCCATGGCGCTCCACAAATGGTAGCTATTAAGACCCGTCTTATATTTTTTCTGAATTCTCTTCTGAATGCCCCTCTGTCCTAGAACAATCCAACTTAACTACATCGAGGGGCATGGGATAAAAATGAACCACGGGGACCGGATTTGACTGCCAAGGTGTCTCACAGGAAGGTTGGCAACAGCTTCCCCAGGTGTAAGGGGAACTCATTCAGGGTAAAGAGCACTCTTACCTGACAGCTTCCCACCCTGTCCCAGGCTGGTGCCGAGAGCAGTAAAGCCTGGCTGACAAGGCAGAAGAAATCGGACACATTCCTTTTTGCCCTCCTTCTGGGACAGGTTTAGGTAACAAGGCTCTTCCGTCTGACCCCAGCTCAACTTGGGTTTCTCTGGGGTATTTTCCTTATTCTTCCCTTCACTTTAATTAAGGAAGGAATCACTGAAATCAAGTTCCTGAATAAGTCACACCACCACTACCATTACCACACATACTGTACCATTATAGTTGGGGAAACAGGCTCAGAGAGGTTAAGTCAAACCCAGCTGGCAAGTTAGCAAAGCTAGAAATCTGAATGAAAGACATCGGATTCCAAAATCCACGATTTAAACACTGTGTTAGAATGTTTCTCGCTGAAGTTAAAGGACACATTCTGCTTCCCAAAATGTTTCTCGAAGACCAGATTTTAGGTGGGGAAGAAGGTGAGGCCCATAGTCAGCTATTGTAAACACTTGGAGGAGTGGAGACGGTGTGGGAATAAGCTGACCACTGGGTCCCTGTTGCCAGCTGCCCAGCTTCCAGGCCTTTTCCCCCCAAGATCTCCACTCCTGACACAGGACTACCCCAGGAAACTCTGAAATGAAAGGTAAGCTAAACTTGGTGACATGGGGCATCGCCGAAAACACCCGAGAGCCCTGGCCGGTAAGAGTCATGGGTTCAATTCCCAGTCAAGGGCACATACCTGGGTTGCAGGTTTTGATTCCCAGCTTATTGGGGTGCAGGAGATAACCAATCGATGTCTCTCTCTCAAATTGATGGATGTCCTATCTGTCTCTCCCCTCCCTCCCTTCATCCCTCCTACTCTATCTACAAATCAATAGAAAAAATATATATATCCTTGAGTGAGGATTAATGACAAAAATATTTTTTTAAAACTGAGAAATGACCCCATCCCTGAAATGCTTGACCTTAAGGCACAGATGCATTTAAATGGAAAAACAAACTTGTTCTTCCTCTCACCATGACGTGCCAGGCCTCACCATTGGGAAGTCTCCTACCCAAAACCCTCTCATTGGTTCTCCACTGCTCACAACTCTTTCAGCACCCTCCCTCACCCATCTCTGGAGGCCTCACTGACCATCAGCCCCTGGACTTCAAGGCTGAAACATCTGAGGCTTCATCCCCCAGAAATGCACCGAATGTTTTCAGCAGGACTCTGCTGAGGATCTCAACACCTGTGAGGATTAAACAGCCGGCTAAAGACTAGCAGAAGGAACCACCAGAGTTAGAAAAGCTAAACCAGGAGGTACAGAATGGACAAAACGGCAAGAGGACAGAGCACACAGAGAACACATGGACTAACCTTGGGTAAATAAACAGAACTGTCATAGGACAGAAAAGATCCAACTGCACTCTGCACTCCAAATCTGAGCCTTTCCGCTAATCTTACCTCTCACACATGTGGCAGGGGCCTTGGTGCCTTCCAGGTAACTAAGCTGTACTGGGGGGAATCAATGTTGCTGGGAGGCCCAGAAGCCCTTTCTGTGAGTCCAGGTGCTCGGAGAAGCCTGGAGGAAGAGCTCTGCTTTCTGCTGTCTCCCCCTTTCCTCAACAGCCTCTGATATTGTCCTCACCGAGTGCACAACCCATGCTCTCGTAACTTCTGGTGGTTTCTTCTCCAACTAGGCAGAAGCTCTGAGGATAAAGACCAGGTTTCCTCCGCTCTGCAGGGTTGGAATGTAGTAACTCACATGTGTCAAACACAAGGCCCACGGGCCAAATCCGTCCCGCCAGGCCTTGCAATGTGGCCCGCACGGCGCTGTCATCACTGCACTCCGCTGCGTTTCCATCACAATGACAGTTTATGACTGTTCAGTAAACCATTCGGCCCGCGATTTAGGCTGGATTTTAGATTTTGGCCCCTTCTCTGATTGAGTTCGACACCCCTATTTAACTACTTGCCACGGGTTGGGCACCTAGAGAGTGTTTTACAAAAACATT